TTTTATGTGTTTGATTGGGGGAATGTATAACAAGGGCCCACAATGCAGACGAATAACTTTACTTTTAAAAATTAACCGATAACTCGAATGGACAAAATAACAAACTCATGTAATTTTTTTAGTCCCTAACCTCACGTAAGTTTTATTTCACACCAGATCTTTTTTGTTTTTATAAATCTTTGCTAGTTTTTTTTCATGTATATTTTGTTGATTAATGCATCATATTTAATCTCAGATAAGAATTCTTTGTTGTTTAAAATTTCACAAGGGTGAATGGCGAATTAAACTGTTATTTATTGCTCTTTTTGAACTTTAACACTTGTTCAGTTGTAGTTTAATGTCAGAGTTATAGAAATTGAACACTTAAATGGAACTGAGGTTAAATAACACAGAAACACGTAGCGGAAGCGGAGTGCGCGGTTCCTTGTCGAGGAGTAGCGCCACCTGCACAAAAGATGCAGACTTTTATGACTTAAGTGGCTTAAGGGGAGTCGCTTGACGAGGTATAACATTTTTTTGGTTTTTTGTATGAAAAAATGATATTAATATAGATATATCATACATCAAACTGCAGCTTTTTTCATATTCTAGAGCGCAGAGACCAGTTCAATCTACTAAAAAATTATGGCTGAGAAATATCGTAAAAAAGCACCATTCTATGTTTTCTTTTCAAGTTTTTTGAGTCATAACCATCATAGAATCGCTTGAAAATTCCCACATGGATAAAACATCCCTTTTTACAGGGCGTAGAGTCATTAAATGTTTGTTAGTGGTACAATTTGTTTAAATAATAATGTGTTTATTAAAATCAAAATATCCCACAAATTAATGCAAAATACGTCGAATAATTTTAATAGGAATATCAGAGGAAAATTAATGATCTATTGGTTAGCCGAGTATTTTTTCTGTATTTATTCCTTTGGGTGTCCGTACAACAAAATAAACTTGTGAAATACCCGTAACAAGCATTTGTCCCTGGACTTGAAAGTAGTAATTATAGCCCCTAGAAATACATAGTACCGTCATCCATTGTTGTACGAGTGGAGCAAATGCAGTTGGTAACGCAAAAAATTTCCCTGGTTTGGAACCAAATTGTGTCAGCAGAGAGTTAACAGTGCGTAAACCGTTGTTGTCACGTGGTCTTTTTGTTTAAAGTCAATTAATTGTCAATTAATGTAACTAATAATTATTAAATAAGATTTTATTCATTAAATTTTATATTTTATTCAAATTAAAACTCCATATTTTGTATATAAACTACAAACTTTAAATCCAACATAAAACTATTTTAAATTTGGCGGTCTGTCAAATGGTGTTTATAATTTTTGTTTTTGTTAAGTTTCCGCCAGGTTTGGTCCACGGTGACGATACTATGTGTTTTCTAGAGGCTATAGTAGTAATCATGATTTTTTTTTTACTTTCAATACTCTGCCTGTCAATGTACAAAATTTGATTATTTTTTTTCTAACCCCTTCTTCGGGAGACAAATCTTGCGATTTTGAAGGGCATTTAATTTCGACTAATGCACTGCTATCCTCTAGAACCCTGTCTGGACTGGCAGCCAAGTAAGGAAATTGTTTAGAAAAAAACAAGCCACACCGTTCAGTTTTTATATTTTTATTTATTTCAAAACACTTTTTCCTCACTTTGCTGTCCATAGTATATATGACTATTACCTCTAAATGTACTTACAACAGAGACTCCACAGTTTTAGCTATTGCTGTAGTCGGTCTAAGTTTGTAAATACATCCAAAATTTGAAGCCGTAACCCTAATTTCTCTTTTTTTGCCCAAATGTGCCTGTTGCCTAGTGTCTATTTCAATTTGGTCTAAATTCAAACATAATTTTCTCAAAAAAACCTCTTTGGCTGTCACAAATGTTTCTACATCCATGACAGGATTTTCTAAAAAATATTTAAACCATAGTCGCGGTCGGGACCAGCATACGTAAATTTTTTTACGACATATTTTTTTTACGAATACTTTGTCTAAGACGAGCTTGTTTTATAGACGAACAATATTTTTTTGTTATTAATCCAGGACCGTTTTAATTACAATATATTTACTTATCCCGTCTAAAAAATTGATGACGTGACCTCAAAATTTTGCTGAATAAATCCTATCTAAAATGTACAAAATATGATGAGTCTCTTCTTGTGATTTATCATTCCATTCATGTTTTTTGGATTTGCATACATATACAGGATGACCCCAAAAATTAATGAATGCGTAAATTTATTTTATTGATTTAATCAGGAACTACAGAACCCAATGCTTTGAAATCTTGCAAATGTTTTAAGGTTATAAAGAGCATAATAAATTTTTAGTCAAAATATATTTGCTTATCCCCTCCAAAAAATTGATGACGTCAGCTCAAAAGTTTGTCGTATAAGACTATTTAAAATTTACAAAATATGATGAGTCTCTTCTTGTAACTTATCATTCCATTCATAGTTTTTGGATTCGGATATACAGGGTGACTCAAAAAATTTAATGAATGCCCAAATTTATTTTATTGATTTAATCAGGAACTAAAAAACCGAATGCTTTGAAATCTAATGTAAAAAAAAAACATAATAGGCATGCAGTCGCGTTTCCGATAGCGAGGGAAGTACTGTCTAAACTCATTAGAGCAATTTTTTTGCTTTTCCCTTTTTTCCATGTCTCAATTTTTCAATGTTTCAGTTTGGGATTTTTTCACTGTTTCGATTCTTTAATTTTCCTTCCATTTTTAGGTTTTTCAATATTTCAGCTTTGGAATTTTGCAATATTTCGTTTCTTCAATTTTTCAAATTTTTGATATTGTGTTTTCTCGGTTTTAAAATTTTTCGATATTTTAACTTTTCAATTTTTAAAGTTTTAGGTTTTTAGATTTCTCACTATCTCGACTTTTCGATTTTTCAGTTCCATGATTTTTCAATTTGTCGAATTTTTAAATTTTAGATTTTTTGTTCTCGATCATTCAATTTTCTGAGTTTTCAGGCTTAGATTTTTTTTGTTGTTCAATTCTTGGATTTTTAAATTTTTTTTAAATTTTCCTATTTATCAACTTATTGGGATTTCAATGTTTTGATTTTTTTATTGTTCAATTTCTCGATTTTTTGAATTTTTAGTTTTTGATACGATTTTTTTTTTTAATTTTCAGTTTTTCAATTTATTAACTTTACGATATTTCAGTTTTACGATTTTTAAATTTTTTTATTTTTCAGCTTTCAATTTTTGACGTTTCTAAATTTTTCGATTTTTCAATTTTTCGATCAACTGAATTTTTTGATTTTCCCATTTCTCTATTTCTCGATTTTTCAATTCTTTCTTCAATTGTAATTTTTAAATTTTTCGATTTCTGAATTTTTCAATGTTTCAGTTTTGGATTTTTTCACTTTTTCGATTCTTCAATTTTCTTTCTATTTTTCAGTTTTTCAAGATTTCAGTTTTAAATTTTTTCACTTTTTCGATTTTTCAATTTTCCTTCCATTTTTCAGTTTTTAAGTATTTCAGTTCTGGGATTTTGCAATGTTTGGGTTCTTCAATTTTTCCATTTTTTGATGTTTCGATTTCTCGGTTTTTCAATTTTTCGATAGGTATTTTAATTTTTCAATTTGTAAGTTCTAGATTTTCCGTTAATTTTTTTGTTTTCCTTGATGTTTTGATTTGTCGATTTTTCGATTTTTTAAGTTCTCGGTTTAGATTTTTTGGTTTTCCAATTCTTCGATTTTTAAATTGTTTAATTTTTAGATTGTTCAATTTCTCGATTTATGGTTTTTTCAATTTTTCGGTTTACCAATTTTTTTCATTTAAAATGTTTCAATTTTTCAATTTTGGTGTAATTTGAAAACGGTATTAATAATACATTTAGGCGAATAAACTAATAGACGGGCTTGATAAGCCTTGTTTGCTCTACAGTGTCTAAATTGTGTTTGAATAATATAATAATTATCTCGAATATTAAAATTAATATGTCAAAAGAATACGAGAAATGATTATTCTGTGCTGAAGGTATGTTGTGGGCCGCCTGTCATAAATTATCACGTCCGGTAGTCGTCTATCCCAGCGCGTCAGGTAGATTTAAAGAAGAATTGCTGGTTGCGTTTAAGGCAACAAATGGCGCCCAATTCAAACTTGTCTCTCGTCTAGCGTCTCCCCTTAAGCCAAACCACCCTGATAAGTCAAACTGGCTATTGTATAACTTAACTCAGTTGACATATTTTACAACTTTACAACTCCATTATTGCAACAATGGACAGTAATAATACTTGCGGTTCGGGTCCATAAAGCTTACAATAGCCGGTTTGACTTATAAGGGCCGTTTAAGTCAAAAGTTTTACTAGGTGTATGTCAATTGAGACCCAACAATACCCAATAGTTTTAGCCCTTGATGCGACATTTACTCTAAAATTTAGCGCAAGTTTTGAGGTTATATCTGCCTAATAGATCGCTAATCGAAATTTGTATATCCACCCCCACCAAATTGCGATGACGTTATCTGAAAATTTCGCAAAGTATGCGTCAGTACGCGTAGTTAATAATAATTAATCCATTGTATTCTACATTAATCAGTAGGCGTAGATACTAAAAAAGGAGAATCACTTTTAGGTTATGTATCGAAGAAACTGGATCATAACTAAATGTATGTACTAGAAATGATTTAAGTTTTAAATGCTTGCCTAATTCATTTTCTAATAGTTATAAATTTACTTTGACTTTGGCACAGTTTCGTGGTGGTTTATAGCTTATAGCCAAGTTTATTAAATAAATTGTCGTTAGTATGCTGACCACGTGAACGTGTTGCACGGGTGTATTACTGGTTGCCGGCCACTATTATCAAAACACCAAATTTACCATCGAACTTTTGTTTAAGCACAGAAAAATTGATATAATTTTTATCACCGTACTTAAATGATCCATTCCTGGTTTTTGTAATGTTACACACCTTTTAATTTAATCAAAAATAATATATTTCTATGCAAAAAATTAAAAACCTCGCTCCAAACACCTACCAACCTTGTGCAACACATCCAGAGACGCTCCCCTCAACACTAAACAGTTCAATAATTCCTGACACTTTGTATGAATGTCCCTCAATATTTTACTCTTGCTGTTCAAGTTCAGCCCAACTAATTCTTCAGCTCTGTCACATATGCAAGGCAGCAACTGAGCAATACACAACAACAAATTACTTATATCAACCACAAGCAATTTGCTTCTGGCTTCAGAAGGACAAGACTTAAAAAAACGTTCACACAATTTAATCCTCAATTATTCACACCTTAATACCTGAGTGTAACGAACCGTTAAAATTGTTAATGATTCATTTAACATCCCAGAAAAAACCCTTTGTGCCATTTTTGGAGGAACAGTGTTCCATAAATCCTCTTTAGTCCCTGCAAACCCACAACAAATTCAACGCACAACATTTAATAAAAATAGATCACCTTGCATATACAACCACCACATTTGTATAACATAGGAGCCCCTTTCTGACTCACAAAAAGCCTTCTGGTTTTCCCAGTCTAAAGACTCAGCTTCTTGTAAAATATACAGTGAGAGCAACCTACAATGTAAATCCAGCAACCTTTCAGCTAAAGCTTCACCCATTTCTTGGTACTTCTTTGAACTGTCATGCAGCAACTCCACCTGACTACCCTTTATTTCACTAATGGATTGTAAATAAAACCAGAGACAATTTTTTAAAAGAGTTGCAGCACCGATTGTCCCAGTTAAGACCGTTAAATCAGCGTGATCAAGAGCTTCCTGTGTGAGCACGTGTAAATGTTCTACAAAAGGATTAAACGTCACACTTGTCTTTGCTAACACCTAATCACCTAAAAGCTGCTCCGCTGATTTATTAATAAGATTAACAAACTTCGTCGGATCTGAAGCCTTGACGATGCCTCCACAGCCCCCAGACGTATCCATATTCTGATCAGAAACCTCACACTTTTGCAAAAAGCCTGAATTTTTTCGGTAGGCAGCAACATATTCTTCTTCCCACCACAGAACTAATTTCATAGCGGCAAAGGAAACGGACCTGGGGAAATCTAAACGGCCTCCAGCCACCCCCGGACAAATTGTTTCTTGAAGAACAGTTTGATTATTCTGAAACAAATATTCAATTCGAGTGAACAAAATTTGGGGTGTGTTCTAACCTTGTAGTACTCCATGTCTCGTTGGATTAGGATGTGGACTTTGTCCATTAAATTACCATCTTCCATCACCTCCATGGTGTAGTAAAGTAGTCACAGTGTTCTGGAAAATTGTGTAATTGTGGATACCCTTTTAACTTGTGTTGGTATTTTTGAAATTCGATTAAACATGATTACCAACGTTTCCATAGCAACTGATTGACAGGTGACAAGTCGAGCGAGCCAATCAGAAACAAAGATTATCGGCGCGCATTTCGAATGCAGAAAATCTCCAATCAATAAAAACCGAAAACAAAGTTTCCACCTGCAAGTGCAGTCAAAAATGCTTTAACAAATGCAATCATTGCAAGTAATCATCTCGTACCGTCAAGCTGCCACCGGTCCTGACGCTGTTAAGCATAATTCCCCTTAAAATTTTAATGCATAACTAACCCTAAGATTCAAGTTAATTTTACCTGACATACTTTCAAAAACTCCGTTTAAAACCACTTTAAAGCTTTTATACTACGAGAAGTTTTCCGTAAGCTATTCACAAACGTCAGTCCCGTTTATGCGTTAGTGCTGCGATGGAATATTAAAAATGAAAGTCGGCGTGGCAAAGAGGATTTCGAAAATGTGCAAGAGATTAATTTTTCATTTAATCTAAACATGTGTTCCCTGCATTTTCCAATAGCTCTTTCGACTCAATGCCATTTCCGCGAACGTGAAATCTGCTCGCCGTTTTTATTTTATTTTCATCGGAAGCTTTTATTTGTCATTATAACCCCGGTCTAATCGTCTTACCGCGGAGAGTGCTCTATATTGATCCGGAAAATCGCCCATTTTTGATTTTGGGGACTCATTAGCTGCTTTTTCAATTATCCGGCGGTTTTTAGTTTGGTTTTCCGATGCGAAATTTCTTTATCGATTGTATTATAGTCACATTTACTTATTTAGGTATGAATCGAAAATTATTTACAAACACTTTACATACAGATTACTTTGCCAAACGTATAAAAACCGTGTATTTTATAAAAATTCTAATTTATCTTTAAGAAAGGTTGACTGGTATCAAATTGGTTTAGATTCATTCTAATACAGGCACCCTAGGTATATTTTAAATTTATTTTGCACACAAACCTTGTTAACAAAGAGAGCTTACTTGTTTTAGAAACAGGTTCGATATTCCATTCGAAACACATGAGAAAATTGAAATTAGGGCATTTTGATTACCCCGTAAAAATAAAGACCTAACCTAAAGGTTACCATTTTAAAAAATAGTGAAGCTAAGAAAGGTGACAAAGTAGGTTAATAAAAGACCACAAATAGGCGATAAATGAAGATGATAAAAACATGAAAGAAAATGACAACAATCTGTCTGGTAGTTTTGGAGAGAGTTTAAGAGAAATCGACACAGACGACAGACGTCAGACGGAAACGGGAACCTATTTTTTCGTGTTCAAGGGGTCATGGAACGTAGAGAAAACTTGAAAGTAGCCATTCACTGAATTGCTACTGCAATACTTTCTTAGGTTACGTTTGAGAAGGAATGGGACGAAAAAATGGGCGAAAAAAGCGTGACAAAAAAGGTAATAAGGAAAAGTAACAAAAATTACTATAAATAGAGTGATATAAAAGACAATAAAAAAGTGATAGAGAACCAAAAATAATGCGGTAACAATATAGATTAAAAAAAAATGTTGTAATAAAGGTTACAAAAAAAAGTAGACTAAAAAATGCGATAAAAAATGTGCAAAAAAGGTTATACAGGAGGCGACAAAAAGCGATTTAAATATAAGACAAAAAAGGCGTTAAGAAAAGAGGGTCAAAAATGCCACTAGAAACAAGATAAAAAATGACGACGAAAGAAATGGGAGAAAATAGCAAAACACGTTAGAACAAACTTAAAAGAAGGTAACAAGAAAAGACAATAAAAAAGGCTACAAAAGAGCGACTAAAAAAACGGAAAAGAGCGACTAAAAAAACGGAACGAAGAGAAAACGACCAAAGGGCGATAAAGAAACATCAAACAAAGAGAACAAAAAAACGAAAAAGTAGGCAATAAACAATACAAGAAACAAAATACTGACAGAAAACGGCTAAAAAAACTACAAAAAAAAATGTGGAAAAGAGCCACAAAAAGGGTCACAAACAGATAGAGTGACAAAAAAGAGCCATATTAATAATAATAAAGTCTATTACATAACTCAATATAAACAAAGTAATTCAATTAATTATTATTAAGTAAAATAATAAAACAACGTAGACAAAATAATAATACAGTAGAAACAAAATAGGTAAACTACATAAAGAGCTAATTCTTTATCTGTGTCTAAAAAGATTTATAAAAAACATAAAAAAGACAAAAATATACATTAAAAAAGACGACAAAAAAGATTACAAAAGAACGACTAAAAATAGAACAAAAAATCGACATAAAAAACTACAAAAGAGAAAAAAACTGTCAGAAAACGGCAGAAAAGGCTACAAAAACTGGCGAAAAAAAAGAAGAAATGACAGAAAAAATAGCAAAAATAGCTAGAATAAAAGTCGACTTGAAAAGACCACAAAAAAGCGACGAAAGTTCAACTGAAAAAGGTGATAAAGACCTCAAAAAAGCGAACTAAAAAACTGTTATAAAAGGCTGCAAACAATGCGACAAGAAAAGTGACAAAAACGGACAGGATACGTCAAAAATTGCTATAAAAAAACTACAAAAATGGCCACAAATAATGTAACAAAAACAACGATAAATAAAAAAAACAACAAAGAAGATCACAAATAATGTGCCAAAAATATAGATTAAGAAAAACGACAAAAAAGCGATGAAACGAAGACTAGAAAAAAGTCGAGTGAAAAAAAGCACAAAAGAAAATACTAAAGAAAACCTTTTTCAAAAGGTTATGAAAAAGGCGGCAAAAGCGATAAACATGTGGACAAAAGAAAAAAAATGCAAAAAAGGAATGTAAAAAAACGACAAAAGGAATGATAGTAAACAGTAGAAAAAGAAGTGGAGTAAAAAGAAGGTAAGAGTGAGAGACTAAAAAAACTGTTGAAAAAAGTGATGAAAAAAAGGCAACTAAAAAGGGCGACGAAAACATCAGAAAAAAGGAGAACCAAAAAATGACAAAAAAGGTCACAAACAATGGGACGAAAAGAGAGCAAAAAGGGACAAAAAACGACAAAAAAAGATTACAAGAAAATATACAAAAAAATTATGAAAAAAGTGGGTACAAGGGCTACGAAAATGCCGACAAAATAAAAAGACAAATAAATGAGACAAAAAAGTAGACAAATAAAGAGTTATTAAAAAAGGACGATAGAAAAGCGACTAAAAAGGGTCACAAACAATGCGACAAGAAAAGAGAAAAAAACTGTCAGAAAACGGCAGAAAAGGCTACAAAAACTGACAAAAAAAAAGGCGACTGGAAAAGGGACAAAAATGAAAAAAAATAAAAAAGTAAAAAAAGCGACATGACAAGGTTACAGAGAAAAAATCATGACAAAAGAAATGACAGAAAAAACAGCAAAAAAAAGCTAGAATAAAAGTCGACTTAAAAAGACCACAAAAAAACGACGAAAGTTCAACTGAAAAAAGTGATAAAGACCTCAAAAAAGAGAACTAAAAAACTGTTATAAAAGGCTGCAAACAATGTGACAAGAAAAGTGACAAAAATGGAGAGAATACCGCAAAAATTGCTATAAAAAAACTACAAAAATGGCCACAAATAATGTAACAAAAAAAAAGCGATAAATAAGAAAAAAAAAAACGACAAAGAACATCACAAATAATGTGCCAAAAATATAGATTAAGAAAGACGACAAAAAAGCGATGAAACGAAGACTAGAAAAAAGTAGAGTGAAAAAAAGCATAAAAAAAAATACTAAAGGAAACCTTTTTCAGAAGGTTATGAAAAAGGCGGCGAAAACGATAAACATGTGGACAAAAAAAAAATGCAAAAAAGGATGTAAAAAAAAGACAAAAGGAATGATAGTAAACGGCAGAAAAAGGTTACAAAAGAAGTCGAGTGAAAAGAAGGTGAGAGTGAGAGACTACAAAAAAACTGTTGAAAAAAGTGATGAAAAAAGGCTACTAAAAAGGGCGACAAAAACATCAGAAAAAAGGAGAACCACAAAATGACAAAAAAAAGGTCACGAACAGTGGGACAAAAAGAGAGCAAAAAGGGACAAAAAACGACAAAAAAATACAAAAAAATTATGAAATAAGTGGATAAAAGGGCTACGAAAAAGCCGACAAAATAAATAAAAAGACAAATAAATGAGACAAACAAAAGACCAAAAAAAAGTAAGAGAAAAAAGCCTACGAAAAAAAAGCGACAAAAAAAGGGATAAAGATGACACAAAAGCAAAAAATTGGTCTAAAGAGTTTAGACAGTACTTCCCTCGCTGTCGGAAACTTGACGACTGCATGCCTATTGTGTTTTTTTTCTCATTACATTTTTGTAGTGGGAATTTAAAAAAAAATTGCGATGACGTCATCAACATTTTTGCAAGGACACGTATATCAGTTGGGATAGATGTAGTGTAATACTAAGAATAAAATTATTATATTCTCAAATTTTCGGGAAAATGAATTGGGTCGTTTGAATATTGATTTGTAATAATCAATAAAATAACGAAACAATTTACTCACGTATACCTACGTATCAGAGGCAACTGAAAATCGTGTATGTATAAACATTGTTAATTTAAGATGACAGGCGTAACAGCATACGTGAGAGCCAAACACAGAAACTGTAAACAAAACGACCGTCGGTTTTATTGCTTCGACTTCCGCTTATTATATAAAACATTGGGTTTTATTTTAATTCTTGACGGTGAAATTCACAATTGGTTGATTATAAACATGTCTATTTCACATTCGCGGAATCAAGTGAACGCATAAAACAAATGCAGGTCTGTAATGTTAAAGTCGATGTAAATAAGCGTGCTACCCTTATGTTTCAACCGAGTTTTTCCTTTAACAAATTTTGTGTCTACCAAATTGGGTTGGTTGGGGTGTAATACTAATAATAAGTGTTGCCTTTAATTTAATCAATAAAATAAATTGACTTCATTAATTCTTTTGAACCACCTCTTAAGAAAATCTAAAAAATATGAATGGAATGATAAATCACAAGTACAAACTCATCATATTTTTTGCATTTT